AAAAAAAAAAAAAAAAAGCAAGAAAAAAATATTCTGAATATAAAAAGTACTGTACTTTCCAAGATATCACTCTTATTTAGTGGCTATCCTAGTATAGAAAGTTATACTTGAAATCTTATTTTACTGCTGGGCATGGTGGCTCACGTCTGAAATCTCAGCACTATGGGATGCTGAGGTGAGAGCATTGCTTGAGCTCAGGAGTTCAAGAATTGTCTGAAGGAGAGTGAGACCCTGACTCAACAACAACAACAACACAGAAAACCCAGCCAGGCACCAGGGCAAGCACTTGTAATCCCAGCGACTCGGGAGGCTGAGGCAGCAGGATGCCCACAGCCCAACTCTGAGGTTTCAGTGAGCTATGATGATGCCACTGCATTCTGCTTAGGGCATAGGGTGAGATCTGTCTCAAAAACAAAATAAAACAAAAAAATTTATTTTACTAATAACCTGTAGAAATAGTTACTGATAATAAAACATGGCATGTACATACAACACAGAGTGTTTACTACACAGCCATAAAAAGAAATGAATTAATGTCCTTTACTGCAATTTGGATATAAATAAAGACCAAATTAGCCTAAGTGAAGTACCTCAAGAATGGAAAAACACTGCCAGGCACAGTGGCTCACAACTATAAGCCCAGCACTCTGGGAGGCTGAGACTGGAGGAGCGAGACCAGTCTAAGCAAAGTGACACCTTGTCTCTACTAAAAAGACAAAAAATTAGCCAAAGATAGTGGGGTCCACTCCTACCTAACAGGCATAAGAAACAGTATTTGGGTGATACGTACATGTATAGACTCGACTAAAGCATTATAAAAACTATCCTCAGAGGCTGAGGCAGGAGGATTGCTTGAGGCAAGAAGTTTAAGACCATCCTGAGCAATAGCAAGACTCTGTCTCCATTAGGAAAAAAAGCTACCCATGCAACAAAAACATTTATACCCCCTTGATATTTGGAAATAAATAAATAAATGAAATAGTGACCAATACACAGCCTTTTTTTTTTGGAGATAGTCATGCTCTGTTGCCCCAGGCTAGAGTGCCATGGTATAGCTCAGAGAAACCTCAAACTCCTGGAGTCAAGCGAACCTTTGCCTCAGTCTCCCAAGTAGTGGGATGATAGGTGCCTGCCACAACACCCAGCTAATTTTTTCTTTTCTTTCTTTTTTTTCAGTAGAGACAGGGTTTCAGTTTTGCTTAGGCTGGTCTGGAACTCCTGAGCTCAAGGGATCCTCTTGACTTGGCTTCCTAGAGTGCTAAGGATTATAGGTATGAGCCACCATCCCTGGCCCATAGAATTAAACATTAGAGATAGAAGCCCTAAAACTAAGGTGGGGAGGGTTATGAGTCATCAGCAGCTGCAGCAATTCACATTTTGTATTCATAACGAGCACCAGCATGACACTAAAGCAAATGGTAAGGATTTTATACCCTAAATCAAAGATACAGATTTCAAACTAAAGGTATTTACACATTAATTTACACAGAACTAACTGCTTTCTCCCCCAAAATTCTGCAGGAGAAAACCTAAGTGATTGAACTGACAACTCATTTCATGTGGCAAGAATTTTGCTTTTTTTGGTACATCTGGGGGAAAGTAACTAAGACTTAAGTTTAAGGGTTAAACTTTAATGTATCCTGGATTATGCATAACCAAGTACTGGCACAGGCTACACTTGCCAACATGGTACCTACTCTTCAACCACCCTGATGGAAACCAGACTAAAATGCAACTGTTGGCCAGCTTCTGGTGGCTCACACCTATAATCCCGGCACTTGGGAGGCCAAGGCAGGCGGATCACCTAAGCTCAGGAGTTTGAGACCAGCTTGAGCTACAGAGTCAGACCCTGACTCTAAAAATAGGCAGGTGTTGTAGTGGGCACCGGTAGTCCCAGCTACTTGGGAGGCTGAGGCAAGAGAATTTCTTGAGCCCAAGAGTTTGAGGTTGCTGTGAGCTAAGACACCATGACACTCTACTGAGGCTGACCAAGTGATACTTCAAAAATAAATAAATAAATAAGATCCAACTTTACACTGCTTATTGCTTTCCATACAAATGCAGTTTACTGTTCTGTTTATGGTAAATGATTAAGAAATGACTGTATAGTAGCTTCTGAATTTCTCAAATGCCCAGAGACTGAATTTAAATTGAACTTCCCCACTGGAGATGTTTTCCACATTAACACTATTCTTTTGCTCTCAACATTAATAAGAAATGCCCACATCCACCCACTCATCACCATTTAGGACACGAACAAGGGTTGCTCAGTTAAAACACCTCTCAGGGATCACCAAAGGATCCTTATTTACCTTCTGGTCTCTCAAAATTCAGTAAAACGTTTCAGGATAAAATTTAGAAAGCATTAAAACACCTCAAGTCATTGCCTGACTTCACAAATCACACTCACTATGCCAAATGCAGAGACTATATTCTTCATTCCATATTTTGAAAGTCCTCGAAGCAGCTGCCCTTCCACACACCTTTTGACAGGTAGTTTTCTGAGGGCAGCAGCTGGGTCTTTAGTCTTCGCCCATTCTTCTCTGCATTTAACCAGGTACCCCTTTTCAGCTGGGAAGGAAAAACTACGATTAAACAATTTATCCAATAAACAAACTTATGTAATGTTAAAGTACACTTTAGGGAGAACACAAAATCAGAAAATGCTATTGGTAGCACAGGTGCTATGAAGAGCTTCGGCTCACTTGAAAATAGCCCAAAAGCAGAAAGATGGGAAAGGCATAAGTTTCAGAACTATAGGGCTTTGTCAATATGCTGCTACTCTTGGGCCAACAATAAAAACCATTTATTGTTTATTATCAGAGCAGATTCAACATAAGACAAAAACTTCCTAGTCTTTCCTTCCTTCTCTTTTACTACTGTATTGTCAAATTTAATGGATTACTTTCCTTAAAACTAATTTTCTCTTTTATTAGTCTGTAAATGAATAATTAACCAAAGTATAAATAAAATGTATACATAAAACTTGTAAAAACTACAAAGAGATACCTATACTTTTGTTATAAAAGCAAAGAAAATTCTGATATAACCATCCCAATTTGTACATATTCTTTATTCAAAGCAATTCCATGAATACATAGCAAAACATTCTACTTCTTTTCTTTTTTTTGAGACAGAGTTTCACTTTGTCGTCCTCGGTAGATTGCCCTGGTGTCACAGCTCACAGCAACCTCTAACTCCTAGGCTTAGGTGATTCTCTTGCCTCAGCCTCCCAAGTAGTTGGGACTACAGGTGCCCACCACAACGCCCGGCTATTTTTCGTTGCAGTTTGGCCGGGGCTGGGTTTAAACTGCACACCCTTGGTATATGGGGCCAGCACCCTACCTACTGAGCCACAGGCATGGCCCCCTCTTCTTATTTTCTTAACATGAATTTTTTTTTTCTTGTTTTTGAGACAGAGCCTCAAGCTGTCCCCCTTGGTAGAGTGCCGTGGCATAGCTCACAGCAACCTCCAACTCCTAGGCTCAAGCGAGTCT